GTCAGTGGATGTAGGATCTCCCCCTGGTGCTCTGGCCATGCTGTGTGCCCCGAGTGGCCTGAAGGCCACCTTCCTGGGGTGTTGACAACACGGACACTTTGTTCTTGGGGCCTGCTGTCCCTAGCACCCCAGATATCCTCAGCACGCCAGCCCACTGGCCGAGGCTCATCTGTGCCCTGGAGTTGCTTCCTACTTGAGATCTGTGGACAAATCTGGCCTGGGCAACCCAGTGAATGCTACCCTGATACACTTATCAGTGCAGAAGCCTGGACATGAACCCTAAGGTAGCTACTTTTGGATCAGACTCAAAGCTATTTATTAAAGGTAAGATGTCTTTATCCCCCCAGAGGACTAAGCCTCTAGTTTTAAGCTTCTGTTTTTCTAAGTCTTCCATTCAGAGGTGCAAGTGGTAACATTTAACATTTTGAGTTATAGTATAGTCCATAATGAAAACAAAACAAAAATCTCTCAGTACCTTCTGCATTCGTTACCACAAAGGCACAAGGAGAACCACTATAAAGAAAGTACAAATTCATCTAAGAGTAGTTAGGTAGGAAATGTGTCCGTGTCAGAACGGATGCTCAGTCATTGCAGGTGGAAAACACCCCCTTCACACTACCTTGTCGCAGCTCTAGTGTCCCAACTGAGGAGGCCACACCGCAACGCTGTGACCTTGAGCCTGGCACACCGCTTCAGACTCCAGCTGTGCCCTCCTGAGCCCAGGCTCATTTAAGTACGCTTGGAGTTTCTATGCAGGAGGTATGTCCTCCTTTGCAAACAGCCTCCCACAGAGAATTGAGGAAATTAAATAAGCAACCAGAACAATGGTTCATTTTCCACCATTTCCTTATATTCCATATAAGAATATTCAGGCAGGAACCAGCACTGTGGCGTAGCGGGTAAAGCTGCCACCTGTGGTGCTGGCGGCCCATATGGGAACTAGTTCGAGTCCCGGCTGCTCCACTTAAAATCCAGCAACCAGAACAATGGTTCATTTTCCACCATTTCCTTATATTCCATATAAGAATATTCAGGCAGGAACCAGCACTATGGCGTAGCGGGTAAAGCTGCCACCTGTGGTGCTGGCAGCCCATATGGGAACTAGTTCGAGTCCCGGCTGCTCCACTTAAAATCCAGCTCTCTGCCTGGGAAAGCAGTGGAAGATGGCCCAATTTCTTGGGCCTCTGCACTCGCGTGGGAGACCCGGAAGAAACTTTGGTCTGGCCCAGCTGTAGCTGTTGTGGCCATTTGGGGAGTGAACTAGAGGATGGAAGACCTCTTTTTCTCTCTCTCTCTGCCTCTTCTCTCTGTAACTCTGCCTTGCAGATAAATAATTTTTTAAAAAGAATATTCCGGCACAGAAATGAGGTTTTAGCCAGGAGTATAGTAATTTTATAGACAAAGCTGAAATCAGATTTAAAACACTATTGATTTAATAACTTGGGAAATAAGTATGTACCAACAACCAGTAGTTCTGTTGGAAGAACAGTTATTAAGTATCATCCTACAGCTTCTTGATAAATACCCTTCCTTATCAGACAGACTCATGATGAGTCATTGGTAAGTGTTCAGTGTCTTATGCAATTAAAACCGTATCTCTTCCACTTACATAACGCCTTCTGCTCTCTAAAGTGCTGTGATTACTGTTAATTTATTTGATCACAGCAGTCTTATCGTTTAAAAACCCATCTCTTAATGACAGGAGTAAGAAAAATTTCATATAACTAAGAAATTTAAAAAAACATCATTTTAAGTAGAAAAAAGAGAAATCATAATCAAGTAATAATTCTCAACTTTTGACAAAAGCCCAAATTTCCCTGAATGGTACAGTATCATATACAGCAGAGGCAGAACTTACTTTCCCAGGCAACACTGCCTGGACTGCATAAAATAGAGATGTGGTGAAAATGTAAAGATGAACTTTATATGCTCAAAGATACAAAAAATTGCTACAAAGGCAGGTTAATAATAATTTTTCAAAGTCCATCCATATAGTATTTTATGATTTTAATGAAATGGTGTCTTCAATATGACAAGTCCAGATAAATAAAATCAATTTAGAACTAGAAAAAAATTTCATAAAACTATTTAAAATGATTTTACTGGAAGAATACTGCTCTTTCCATTTAGAAAACATTTAAAATGCTTTCTGCAATATACCATCTGCTATTTACGATGGGTCCGAATCACTCCTTGTGACACTGGTGAGTGTGAGTCAGGTGGGACGGTGCTGGATGGGAAATGGTAACACCGTCTGAGGGAACAGCCCAGAACCCCCTGTGCTCCCAACACAGCACAGATGCCACACTTGATGAATATTCCTCATTGTCTCCCTTCTTTTTAAAGACACTGACCTAGTGCATATCCTAATCAACTCAATCTACAGCACAGCTTCCCAGCTGTTTCCTACCCACTGGCTTCCTCTCTCTGTTGGGCCTCTCTTGCACATTACAGTCAGACTAACTGTAAAAGCATTCTGCACTCTTATGTCATTTTTAAAAAAAAAACAGCAAGGGCTCCCCGTTAACAACAACATCCTATCTAAATTAATGGTTAATTCTTCCCAGCAAGACACCAGGTTCTTTTAAATGTTTACTTCATCTAGACAAAGTCCATCAAGACACACGTGAGGACAAAACCGAGATTTAAAGGATATCTTAAATTTCCTCCCACAGGCTCTCTATACTTTATTAACTCATAGCACCACCTATCTTTCAATGAAAGATTACAAAATGAGATAAACTTCTGGCATGAGGCCCATGTGCCTGGCTTAAACAATTCATTACGAAATTAAGCCCAAAGTGGAAAAAAGAAAATGCCCTAAAAATAGACATGCCATTTAGTGCTACATACAATACCTGTAAGACCATCTAGATTTTTTTTTTTAAGATTTATATATTTATTTGAAGAGTTAGAGAGAGAGAGAGGGAGGGAGATCTTCCTTCTACTGGTCCGCTCCCCAGATGGCTGCAACAGCTGGGGCTGGGCCAATCCAGAGCCAGGACCAGGAGCTGAGTCCAGGTCTCCCAACTGGGTACAGGGACCCAAGCACTAGGCAATCCTCTGCCTCATACCCAGGTGCACCAGCAGGGAGCTGGATGGGAAGTGGAGCAGCTGGGAGTCCAATTGGCGCTCACATGGGATCCTGGCACTGCAGGGAACAGCTTTATCTGCTATGCCATGGTGCTGGCCCCAGGCATATAGGTTTCTTAGTAATGTTTCAAACAAAGGAGTCTGGCCAGCAGTGTGCTGATGGTTTTTATCTGCTGGCTCTGTAAATGTGAATTAGAAAGTACCATTAGGGAAAGGCGGAGCCATTTGACTTACAAATTCCAATAGTCATTGATATTTTCATGCTCAAGGGCTCACTGGAAAGTGTGCTGCCTTTTCCTTCTAAGTCTTCCCACTATTTTAGTTATGTCCTCTATTTAAATGAGAAAAGAGGTGAGGAGGTACAAACTTTCATTTTCTACCCTCTCAGTATGATACTTGCTACTACAAAAAGGTTAGTAATATGGAAGGAGCTGGCAGACTACGCAGCATCCAGCTCAAACCAAGGATGCCCTACGCGCTTCTCAAATCAGTGTTAACCTTTGATCTCATGATCTCATGCTGCAAGAGATGGACAGAATTCTTTATTTATTTTAAAAGCAGAGTGACAGAGAGGGAGAAACATACACACACACACACACACACACACACACGGACAGTGAGATCTTCCATCTACTGGTTCACTTTCCAAATGGCTGCAAGAGCCAGGATTGGGCCAGGCTAAAGCCAGCAGGAGCCAGGAACTTCTCCCATGTGGGTTTCTGTGTCCAAGGACTTGGGTCATCCTCTGCTGTTTTTCCAGGTACATTAGGAGGAAGCTGGATCAGAAGTGCAGCTGCCAGGACTTGAACTCTGATATGGCACTCTGATATGGGAGTAGGAATTCCAAGCGGCGGCTTAACCCACTGCATTACAGGGCCGACTCCAATTGGGCTCTTTTTAGAAATGACAAATTTTCTTATATAATTCTCATTAGTATTGAAATATTAGAGAAGATATTTTTTGCCTAAATGAATAAGCACTGTACCAAAATCTAAGAAGGCAAACCACAAGAAGCAACTAATTGTATGAGACTGGTTATGTCTATAAAGAATCAAAATGTCATAAATTTATATCGCATTTTGGCTGCACAGTTCACAGTTTTGTAAGGCAGGCAGGGATGGGTCTTAGTGCCCATTTCATTTCCAGGGAAAGTGAGGCACTACTACTGCACAACCAAGTCCACACAACACAAAACTCCAAATCAAGGCCTGTTTATGGCTTTCTCTTGCTCTTCTTCAGATACAAAATTAGAAAAACAGTCAAATAACTCCAGTTAAAACTGATCTTGAAAACAGTATAACTTAGAAAAGTTATTTTGAAAACCGCATTTAGTTACAATTTCCAGCATAATTGCTAATATGACAAAAGTGTTGAAGACTATTTCTAAAAAGTGGCTTATTAAAACTGAGTATCTGGATTCAGCATTTCTTAACAGCATCATTTTAGAAGGTTCTCTGGTTAGGGCCTATAGTTCAGCGAGTCACACCTAACTAACTTGCATCACAGTCTTTCTTCTGGTGATTCACATGAACCAACATGTACGTGAACCTTTCTAGACTGGTTAATTAAATTATCATTCATTATCATCCAATTTAAATAAAGTTATCTTGCCAGTTAGAGCAGAGTTGTAAACGAGAAAGAAGCTCTTTCAACCTGCTTAACAATTAGAAAAAATTCAATATTACCAATGGAATCAAAGGGTATTTCTTATATGTTTTGCTGATTTCTAAGTCTTCTCTCTGCTCTTCCCAAAATTTGTACCTTTCTTATTAGTTTTGTAATGTCATATTAATTTTAAACTCCTTTTTCTTCTGTAGAGTCTCTTTTAAGCCACTTCTGAGAAATCAATAATCTTCTTTAAGGTTTCACTAAACATCTGAGTCCTAATATTGAACATACAATAGAAATTTTTTGATTTTCTCACACTTTATTGCACAGTACAAATTTGATTAAAATGCACTGAGTACAACATTTTGTGCTGAAACCAACACTAACGTCAAGCGTTTGGTAGGAGATACCACCGTTTACTTAAATATAGTTCAACTCGGCATAAAGGTGAGTTTTCTTCTGAAGGCTTAGATATGTCAGCTGTAGCTTTTTATTGACCCAACCAACTTTGTTGGTGTCTTTCCTTCTTCATTTTGCTTCTTTTGTTCTTCTTCTTCAGAAGTTCACAGTGTAACAGAGTGGAAATTATGACTAATAGAAACTACTTTAAAACATATGGCTTTACATACACAAAAAATTCAGTAATGTTGCCACAACCCCTCATATAATTTGATCCTTATTTACTATTATCCAGAATAAATTTCTGTACATACTAAATTGTTCAAGTATATCTATAGCAGTGTTTGTAAGAGAGAGGTCCCACTGCTCGATGAACGGGCCTCTCTTTGAAGATCACTTCAAACTTTAATACAATTAAGGTACAGTTTTAACAATGTTTTGATTTTACAATGTATCATACATTCTCAAATATCCTAAAATGCTCAAAGGAGCTAAACATAATTTGATTTACAGCTAGTTTAATATCCCTTTTGTACAGCACCAGAAGTTAAAAATGGATCTAACCAAATGGTCTCCTTTATTACAGTTTCTCACCACTTATTTCTATAACAATAAATCCAAATTGAGAATGAAGACAACTCGGGTCAAATGCCTTCACCTTAAATAAATAAACATCTCATCCACTTCACACTTCAGATACGTAACTGCTTTCCTACAGAGTTTGGTTCTTAGTAACAACTGTTCCATTAGCTAAGCCAAAGCCCCAGTGCGCCTATCTGTGAGGACTAAGCAAGTCGGATAGGATTCTCTAGGTTTGCTTTAAAACTTTCAAGAAACCTGGTAGCCAGCTCGTCGTCGACCACTCGACTGTCGCTGGACATGGTGACCGTGATGAGCTGGTGCTGCTGCAGTCTGGCGTTCCCCTCTTCATCCTCTGCGAGCTTCAGCACAGGCCGGAATCGCCCAACAGCCAAGATGCAGGCCTGGGGCGGGTTGATCACTGCGGAGAACTCATCGATGCCAAACATCCCCAAGTTGGAAATACTGGAGAGAGAAGGGAAAAAACCCCTGAAGATGCCATGTCCTTGATCAAGGTAACCCGTTCCCAGCCTATTTCAAAGATCAAGAATACAAATCAGCACACACACAAACACTGTATCTACAATCAGACATGTATTCGGCATTGAACTGGCGGTCCCAGGCAATGGTACATGGCAAGAAAAAGAAAAATGTGATTCCATAAGTACTAGAAAAAAGAAATAGGATTGTTATCCACTGATGAACTGATCGAGCATATAGAGAATCCAGAGCACCACAAATAAGTCAGTGAGGATTCATAAGCTACCAGATACATGGTCAATATAAAAATTCATTTTGTGTCTATTTACAAATTGCTGTAACTAGAAAAATGGAATTTAAAAATAATAATGGTGATTTGATTCTAAGATTTATCTGGAAATACAAACAGCTATGAAAAACAATCTTCGGCTGGCGCCACGGCTCACACTAGGCTAATCCTCCACCTAGCGGCGCCGGCACACCGGGTTCTAGTCCCGGTCGGGGCGCTGGATTCTGTCCTGGCTGCCCCTCTTCCAGGCCAGCTCTCTGCTGTGGCCCGGGAAGGCAGTGGAGGACGGCGCAATTGGGTACCTGCACCCGTGTGGGAGGCCTGGAAGAAGCTCCTGGCTCTGGATTGGCGCAGCTCCGGCCGTTGTGGCCAACTGGAGGGTGAACCAGCAGATGGAAGACCTCTCTCTCTGTCTCTATCTCTCTTTGTAACTCTGTCTTTCAAATAAATAAAATAAATCTTAAAAAAAAAAATGGACACACGCCTTTATCAGACACCCAAATGGTAGATAAATAAAGTTTTCAAATATAATTAATTTGTACTTCTCAGACCAGAGAGTAACATACCTCAAAAGTGGTGAAAACTTACAACCAAACACTACTAGTGTTGGCAAGAATATGAAGCAGTGGGAATTCTCATGCACTGTTACTGGAAGTATAAATCTAAGTAAACATTTTTGAAAATTACTTGGTAGTGTTAAGGGTTTTAACTCCAGAAATTCTAGTTTTAGATTCACACAACAAAAACCTGTACACATGTTCACCATAAGACATTGATAAGGATGTTCACAGCAGCATTATTATTTGCAATATCACCAATCTGGAAACAAGACAAGTTTCCATTCAGAGTAAATGCAGGTGTGCACATTTACACAACAGTGTATTACAGAGTGTGACAATGAACCCACAGCTGCTTCACCCAGCAACACGGTGACTCTCACAGACACAGACGCAGAGTGGAAGAAGCCACTATAGGAAGCAGTGAATATAAAGATCAAAACAAATTTACAATGCTCCTTTCCAGAATGGTGGCTACCTGTGGGGAGGGGCCCAGGAAGGCGCTGGGATGCAGGACAAGTTTTGCATCTCACTCTGAGTGATCAGTTTCTTTGCTCTATAAAAACTAAGCCACACTCAGTGCACTCTGCTGTCTGAGCAGTCTCCAAAACGTTCATGGAAAATGCATACCATGAAAAAACCATGCATGAATTTCATTTTTTTTGCACCCAGATAAACTTATCTTTTAATTCTATTTTTCACAAACTTTCCGAAGTACTCTCATATCTAAGATACACTAAAAATGAACTGGTAATAAGTAACTTGAACAGAGATCACACGGAGGACATTACTGAAGAGGTAAAACCTTAGTAACCTGCATGTCATTCCAAGAAGAATGTGTGCTTCAGCACTAATGACTTCCCTCTGGTTCTGTGTGAAACCACGGCTAGTCTGAAGCACACTTTCACACATTCTATTGTTTAAATTAAGGGTGAGACATTTAACTTAAATTTTAAAAATGTTTCCGATAAATAAATTAAACAGGCTGAAATAATTAAAAATTTAAATTTACCTAAAAGATCCTCCTTGGTATTCTTCAGGCAACAATTTTCCATCTCTTGCCTTCTTCGAGAGAGCCTGAGAAAAAGACAGAGAAACCAACAACATGTTACACAGTCGATCTTATCACCGGAGTTACATGTACAGCATACACTCTCATCTCTGATATGCCTTGATTGGACTATATAATTAAGCTGCTACACATAATTTTCTCTAATACAACTAATGAAAAAAAACTCAAGAAGCTAAAGATGCTAATCAAAACTCTACAAAAAATTTTTCTGTAAAACATTTTCAAATACTGGAATTACATTGTGCACCACTACTCTGTAGAATGTTTCAGTGTTTCCTATATACAAAATATAATTTTCATTTTGCCTGTAAAATTTCTTCTTGTAAGAGAAAATATTAGAAGTCATTCATGTCAATCTTGCAGATTTTAAAGAAATTATACAATGGCAGGGCCATTGGCGTAACGGGTAAAGCCACCGCCTGCAATGCCAGCATCCTATGTGGGTGAGGATTTGAGTCCCCGTTGCTCCACTTCCAATCCAGCTCATGGCTAATGTGCCTGGAAGGGCAGTGGAGGAAGGCCCAGGTGCTTGGGTCCCTGCACCTATGTGGGAGACCTGGATGTAGCTCCTGGCTCCTGGTTTTGGCGTAGCTCGGCACTAGCCATTGTGGCCACTTGGGGAGTGAACCAGCAGACGGAAGATTGCTCAATGGCAACCTAAGTAGCATACACACAAGCCCACCACCAACACATCAGTTTTCATTTTTCCATGTTTATCTAATCTTTATTCACAAAATAACCTCAGAAAATGATCAAAAAATAGAATTTTATATTTCATTCAATATTCAGTGTATCTTTTGTGTTGTTATTCTTCATAAAATGATTTTTTATGTCTGCTTAACATTCTAAAGAATGCATCTGCCATAATATGCAGTCATTATTCCAGTGTCACAAATTGGTTTACTGGTTTCTTCTGAATTACAGAATTCATTGGAATTATAGTGCCCTAGAGATTGGGTTTTTTTTGGTTCTGGATCTTACGGCTGAAACATTACCTGTCTGAGTTAGTCTGATTTATACTCCACAAGGAATACAAAAATGCACTTTCCCATCACTCTTGAGAGCACCAGTGATGAAAAGCGAAATGAAGTTGACAGTGGCATTGAGTAACAGAGTTAAATTTTCTTCCCACCTCTTGCACTTGGAATTAACCATACTTCAGTTAATCTTTATTTTTCAGTATGTCAAGAACAAACAAACAGAAGTTGAGCCATTAAATACAAACAATAATGAATTAGTTTATGAGGACAGAAGAAAAGGATGTTGTTGTCATTTGGATGGATGAAATACATGTAGACCATACTTAATATTTTGTATCACATAGCCAACGTAAGTACAATTACAGTCAAAGTTGGTTATTTAATTATGAGCCATAGCTCATTTAAATTTTCTTAAGATTCTATTTATTTATTTGAGAAGTAGAGTTTACAGACAGTGAGAGGGAAAGACAGAGAGAAAGGTCTTCCATCCACTGGTTTACTCCCCAAATGGCTGCAACGGCCAGAGCTGGCCCAATCTGAAGCCAGAAGCCAGGAGCTTCCTCTGGGTCTCCCATGTAGGTACAGGAGCCCAAGCACTTGGGCCATCTTCTACTGCTTTCCCAGGCCATAGCAGAGAGCTGGATTGGAAGAGGAAAAGCCAGGACTAGAACCAGCGCCCATATGGATGCCAGTGCTTCAGGTGGAGGATTAACCTATTACGCCACAGCACCAGTCTCTGGTTTAATTTTGAAAAACTAAATTATTCTTTTTTTTTCTTTAAAAATCTCCAAAATTTACAAATGACCATAACAGATTACTATGACTACTAGCAACTGAAACAATTATAGATTTATACTATTTGAATATAGATACTTAGGAAAGTATTTGGATTTAAATTGAAAAATGAAGAGATAAACTTTGTATGCAGGATTTTCAGAAAGTTCATGGACAATGGGTATTATAAAAATACTATGCATGGATATCAAAGTTTTTTGCACCAAAGTAAGTTTATTTTTTCTCCCACTTTCCATGAACTTTTTGAAGTCCTTGGAATATCACAGAGGGAACAGGAGTCAGTTTTAGTCTAGTAGATAAAATGGCCACACCTTCTTCAAAGAAGTATCTGGGTTTGATATTCTGCTTTAGCTCCAGTTCCTAAATCCAGGTTCCTGCTAATACAAAGCCTGGAAGGCAGCAGAGGTGGCCCCAGTAATTGGGTTCCTGCCATCTACATGAGAGACCTGTATTACCGTCTCCTGGCCCTGCCCTGGCCACTGTGAGCATTTCAAAAATGAACGAGCAGATGGGAACTCTCAAAAAAAAAAAAAAAGAGTAAACAGTCTACAAATGTATTTGTATTTTCCTGCCTTAATCAATATAATTTTCACATGATTTAAACAGACACGTGAATGTGGAAAAACATTTTTTAAGGCAGATGACCACAAAATATGCTGATTACTAGACTGGAACAAATAAAAAACAAAACTCATTTTATGAAATGGATTGCAAGTACACATCTGTAACTTTTAAAAAACAACCCTCTCTAGATAGACCCTAAATACATTAGCAGGATATTTTTGTCAATGAACTCCAATAAAAAGAGTGGAATCAGCAAGAATTTGAGTAGGATGTTGATTCTGAAAATCTGTAATTCTCATTGGACTCTCCTGGAAATGTGAACTTAAAGTGCATGGTACCTGAGGTACCTGAGTGCTCTAGCTAGAGATATAAGAAAAGCAGCAAATACTTCTGTAATAGATATCTCTTCCCTTTCTCATTCATTCTAAAAAATTTATTTGGTATTTATGAGGCACACTTCACCTCTGCCTTTTAAAGCTATTATAATTAATGAAAAGTTAAGAATAGCATAGGATCAAAGATTTGAATCCCCAAGGAATACAAAACTTGAACTTGGCTGGGGCATGCCTTTAACCCAAACACTGACAGCTCTGGGGTTACTGAGTGTCAAGAAATACATGTGTACTGCAGGTCTTTTAAACCTGGGCTCCACAGATAGATTATCAGGGAGTCAAAAACCCTGAAAAATTACCTGAATGAAATATTTTTATTAAATTTTTTTTGACAGGCAGAGTTAGAGAGACAGAGAGAAAGGTCTTCCTTTACCGTTAGTTCACCCCCCAAATGGCTGCTACGGCACGCTGTGCCAATCCGAAGCCAGGAGCCAGGTGCTTCTCCTGGTCTCCCATGGGGTGCAGGGCCCAAGCACTTGGGCCATCCTCCACTGCACTCCCGGGCCACAGCAGAGAGCTGGCCTGGAAGAGGAGCAAGAGGGACAGAACCGGTGCCCTGACCGGGACTAGAACTTGGAGTGCCGGCACCGCAGGTGGAGGATTAGCCTAGTGAGCCGCGGCACCGGCCTTAAAAAATTTTAAAACAATAAATTGAGCAACTACTATCTTCTAAGCACTCTCCTAGAAGTAGATATATGGCAATGAACAAGACAGTCACCATCAGACAGTCAACACAGAAGGGTCAACAAATAAAGAATGCAATTTCAAGAACTGAGAAGCCATATGAAGACAGCACGACAGGGTAACAGTACAGACTGCTAGGAGCTACTGAAGCCATGGCCGCTACAGAAGGCCTGAGGAAGTGGCAGTCGAAGGGAGGAATGAAGAGTGAAGAGGAGCCAGCCAGGTGAAGATGAGAGAGAAGTATGGACTGGATGGGGTGCTTTGCGAGCCAGAGTTCAGAGCTCAACCTGATCACGACCCCCACGGTTCCCTCCAAAGGGGAACAAGCTCTCTCACCAGGTGGACAGCTTCAGTTTCTGGGGCAGGTTCTCGCGCCCTCTGCCTGTCTGCTAAGGTACTACCTTCACACTCTGTCTCTCTAACTCTGCCTGTGTGCTCGAATCTTCACAGCTTCTTTGGCAGACTATGCTGACACAAGGCTCTTCTTGACTCTGTCTGCCCGAGTCAACTATCTCAAATTCTGAACCCAAAGACTGGTCTTGCAGACACAGCATATCACTGTATTCCTGTCCTGTGTAGTCAACCCATCACAGTGCATGTGGTATCACTCTTGGGTCTTTGGCTATTCTCAACTTGTTTGTTTCTTCAAGTCCAGGAACTGCTTCTCAAATAATTTTAGGGGGAGCCCACTACTGTTTGTAGAACAGTATCTGCTCACCACAGTCACAGGACAGTTTCATTACTAAGAAGCTGCGAAGCTTAATGGTTCGGAGCACAGGCTCTGGTCTGGTCTATAGTTCTGATAGGATGATTCTGAAGAGGCTTAAAAATTAAAGTGCACAAAAGGCTCTTTTTTTAAGAAGTATTTTATGAAAGGCTACAACCAAGGTACACAATATGCCAGTTGCTATATTGTTATAGCTATCATTTTAATTGTACACATACTTCCATAATTCTTTTAAACAAGATTACAGGCATTACACATGAATTATCACCATTATTCTATCTGAAGCAGATCTTGCTCTCAGAATTGAAATCATTCCGAATTTTATGTGTTCAAATACATAAACATTACACTTTTTAATAAGCTATTATAATACAATGCTTGATGTAGACATATAGACAAGATTCAAATTGTATAAAAATCGCACTCTTCCACAAACAGAACATTTCTTGTCTCACTTTTTGCAGGAGTAGGGGTTTAAAATATAGCAACATGACAGCATAGAAGGCCAAAAGGGAAGGCCCCTAAATGTGTAAGAAACTCAGGGCAGCTGCTGGGGGTTGCTCACTGTAGAGAAGACTGCAATACAATCTTGCACCCAGTGTTTCAAATTGGTGCATGAGTTGTTTCTTAATGTCTGCTAGCTTACAAGGTTAAATGAACATTATTTTATCTTTTGTGAAGAATTATCTAAAATACATAGTTTCTAAGCTATCATTAGTAACATCTGTGATTTCGGTTTCTTAAAAAAAATCATGCTTCCATTTCTAAATCATTTCAGCAAGAGACAAATTTTTTAAGAGGGCAGAGGTATCCCTGTCTCTCACACACATATACTCTTGTACACTAGAGAGCTACTGTGCTGAATAGGCCACACTCGGCACCTGACTCTCATGAGAAGCCTCCCCGTCCTCTGTTTCCTTCTGAACAGAAGCACAGGTGGTCACACCCATCAATGCTGTTAGGTCCTGTGCCCTGCGAGCCTGAGGCCTAGTATGAGACCTGTGCAGCTAAGTCTTCCTACAAGAATCTCCATGGTGGGGGAGGGGTACGCAAACCAAATCTTCCTTCCTGGGGCCAGCGCTGTGGTATAGTGGGATAAGCCTTCACCTGTGGTGCCAGCATCCCATATGAGCACCAATTCAAGTCCCGGCTGCTCCACTTCCAATCCAGCTCTCTGCTATGGCATGGGAAAACAGTGGAAGACGGCCCAAGTCCTTGGGCCCCTGCACCCGGGTGGGAGACTTGGAAGAAGCTCCTGGCTCCTGGCTTCGGATCTGACCAGTCTGGCTGTTGCGGCCATTTGGAGAGTGAACCAGTGGATGGAAGACTTTTCTGTCTCTCCCTCTCTCTGTAACTCTATCTTTCAAATAAATAAATTAATTAATAAACCTTAAAAAAAAATCTTCATAGGAGGCCAAATCAAATCCTCTTGCCTGGTAACCAAAGACAGTAAAAAGACAAAGGGCTGGCAAAGAAGCAGATGACCAGGGCGGGGCAGGGTGGGGGTTAGGAGGGTGGGGATGGAAATGGTAAAAGGAAGGAGAGAGGTGCAAGTATGCAGAGGTGATTTAAGTACAGGCTTTAGAACCATACTGCTGGTTTAAGGAAATCCTCACTTCCACAGCTTTTTGGTTCTACTATGTTGGGCAAATTTCTTGAAGTTACTAAAACTCAGAGTCCTCAATTTCTAAATGGGGTAGCAAAGGTTCCAACTACAGTAGTGGGATAATAGGATGCAATGAAGTACTTAGCCCAGTGCCTGGCATATCCTCAGTCTAAGAATAGAGGGTGGATCATAAACAGCAGGGTGGGTGGGAGGAGCAGGCAGACAAGCAGCCAGAGCTCAGCACACCCTGGGGGCCAGAACAGGATCTGCTCAGGGGCTGACAGAGATCAGCATTCTGGGGTCTGACTGCCTTCCCTACCTGAGGCTGTGAGACCTATGAAGGAGCTTTCCTATAATGGTTGATTTGTAAAAATCAATAACATACAGTACTTCATACTTACAGGTTATTTCCACACTTAGACTCATTGGACCTCCTTAAAAACACTCATATACACATATTCCCATTCGTGCTGAAAATTCCGGATGAACAAAAAGCACGTACCATATCCCAGTAAATCAATCTCTATTACTCTATTACTTTCACTTCGGAATGGCACAAATTAATGCCACTTTTCAATTAAGAATAACCATTGCATTTTTATCTATACATACTGTGCAAATCATTTCAAAAAGGAGATAAGACCACAAAATGTCAATTCTACAATTAAGGCTCACCCTTAATTACAGCTAACTCTAAAAGTCCAAGTACACTCAACATGTATGGGAACACTTTTCAAAGCAGACTCACTTGCATTCATTATTTCATTCTGGGCAGGGAAGTCTATACACTCATACGCTAGAAGCTCCCCTAAAGAAGTCTTGTTTTCCACTCTTTATTCCCCTCAGCGCTTGCTCTACACCCTACATATGAGAGGATCTCGGTAAAGGGGAAAAAGCAAAGACTCTTCTATCCAAATGAACCTAAATTTTCAATGCAAGTCCTTCAAGACCTGTGATACTGCTGCCAAAAAACACTCCTGAAGATTATCAGACCTGCCCGACTGACCTACTGCCTGTGTTTATGTCAACTCAGTGAGATATTTTTGGCAAAATTGGACTTGCTCACATTACCTTGGTAATACCAAGTACTTTGTGTGGTTTCAATTTTAGAGAGGAAATTAGTAAAATAAACTTTCTTTTAAGAACCTAATCTTCAGCCGGCGCCGCGGCTCACTAGGCTAATCCTCCGCCTTGCGGTGCCGGCACACCAGGTTCTAGTCCCGGTCGGGGCGCCGGATTCTGTCCCGGTTGCCCCTCTTCCAGGCCAGCTCTCTGCTGTGGCCCGGGAGTGCAGTGGAGGACGGCCCAAGTGCTTGGGCCCTGCACCCCATGGGAGACCAGGATAAGTACCTGGCTCCTGCCATCGGATCAGCGCAGTGCGCCGGCCGCAGCGCGCCAGCCATGGCGGCCATTGGAGGGTGAACCAACGGCAAAGGAAGACCTTTCTCTCTGTCTCTCTCTCTCACTGTCCACTCTGCCTGTCAAAACAAAAAACAAAAAACAAAAAACCTAATCTTAACACAAGCCTATCCACTAGCGTCTTCACAGCAGCAGCTTCAGTTTTTCTTCAACCTTAGCATCTATCTGAAACAGCACCTTTGGGTTGAATTCTAGACATCGGGAAATTATGTTTTTGTCTGTGAATAAAGTTGGTCCCTAATTTAGCTATATGTTATTTTTGAATTTTTTAAAATTAAATTTTCTTAAAATAGTTCATGCTTGGAAAATAACTTAATTAGGTTCAATTCCTGGCTCCTATCTTGATTCCAGGTTACTGTTAATACAGAGCCTAGGATGGCCGGTGCTGTGGCATAACATGTAAAGCCACTGCCTGCAGTGCCGGCATCCCATATGGGTGCCGTTTCTGATCCAGCTCTCTGCTATGGCCTGAGAAAGCAGTAGAAGATGGCCCAAGTCCTTGGGCCCCTGTACCCATGTGGGAGACCCGGAAGAAGCTCCTGGCTCTTGGCTTTGGATTGGCATAGCTCCAGCCATTGCAGCCGTTTGGGGAGTGAACCAGCAGAGGAACCAGAGGGAAGACCTCTCTCTCTGTCTCTGCCTCTCTGTAACTCTGCCTTTCAAATAAATAAATAAATCTTTAAAAAAAATACAGACCTTAGAATGCAGGAGGTGATAGCTCAAGTAATTGGGTTTCTGTCACTCACACGGGGGGCCTGGTCCTAGCTCCTGGCTCCCAGCTTCAGCCTTAGCCCAGCCCTGGACACTGCAGACATTTGGGGATAGAAGTTCATTTGCATACATGCTCTCTTTCTCTGTCTGCCCCTCTGTCAATGAAATAATTTTTTAATCTCATATACACAGGTGATAATCTTGACATAAACTACTCCCCCACAAATCAATGTGATTATATCAAGATTGATCAGAAAGTAATTATCTGAAAGTATATTCTAACATTCTGGAAACACAGTATTTCTTAAGACACACCTTTACAGAACTGGCAATTTCCTGTATGCCCTTAGCAGCAGCGTCTTTTATGATTGGCGTAATTAAACCTTTATCTGTTGCCACAGCCACGGAAATGTCAATAGATGGCAGTTGCTTTGGGCCTTCTCCATCCCAGCTTACGTTAACACCTGGCATTTGCTAGAAAGAGGGAAAAACGTGTTACCAAAGAAGCAGCTTCACACCAACGGGATTACAGAAAAATAATAACCCTATCATTCATTTTCCAAAGTGAATGTAGCCAGACAGAAGGAAATGGATAAAAATACGGCTTTAAAAAAATGGTTTGCATCTCTGTGTTAATTACTGTTTATGTTTTGGATGGAGAGTTAAACATATCATCTTTTTCGAAGCAAGTCTGAGGAAATCCTGAGGATCACAGCTGAGAAGCCGCTGTTAAATGTAATTGCTATACTTTCAGCCTCAGATGATGCCAAACGTGACCTCTGACTGGAGAGGGACCTGCCTCACTAGTGCAGATCTGGCGTGTCTATTGGCAGGCCCTTGGTAAATGACTTCCCTATTTAAAAGTGATTTCCTAAGCTTCATAAACAAACGACATAGATTATATAGAGATATGAGTATTTACCCATTTAACACACAAACAAGTATAATGAGGAAAACAGGGTGAACTGACAATGCTGCCAAATATCACAGGAGAAAATGATGCTGCAAAACAGACATCAAAAACAAAAGTTCTCTTCTCAAAAAGTTGGCTTTGCACAGAGCAAGATGCTGGCATGTCCCCAGCGTGCTGTTGAAGCGTGGCAGTCTACACTTTGACTCCACTTTGCTCGAGCTGCCCACCGGCATGCTACACTCATTTCCACTCCACAATGACCTTCACCGCACGCTTCAATGGCTCCTTCCATTTTTCCATCCTTCAAGGCTGGCTTCAAACATTCATTAAACAAGGCCAAGAAGAAAGCCTGAAGTCCCAGTCCCTCAGAAGATTTGAAATTTTTCATAGACAACATTAAGTCAACGAGAAAAAAAGGAAGACTCACAAATGAAGCCTATCTGGCAATTAGATTTCATTAGAAAATTAAGTAACAAAGATCTACAGGACATCATCTAAGTTGTAGTTAACGCCAATTAAATGACTCTAGGCTAATAATTTCAGGAACCTAGAAGAAATGAATGATTTTCTGAGAAAACTGCTCCCAAAATTGATTCAAGAGAAAGTTGAAAATTAAACAGATTAGTAATTATAGGAGAAAGAAATGGGAAAGCTGCCAAGATCTCCTCCTCAAAATTGATATATACCAATATGTCTACTGGGGAATTCTATAAAACTTCAAGAAATACTATCTTCATAATTAATTGAAATGAGCACAGAGAAAGGAAAAGAATCCAAATTTGTTTTATAAAGCCAATGATTTTAAAAGAAAAAAAAATCTGATTGAGTTAGCATGAAATTTGATTTACAATTACTTATGGCACCTAATACAAAATTATATAATCAAACATTAACAAATAGCTAATAATCACTAGTGATTTATTTAAACAGTATAAGAGTAATTCACAACTAGATCTATAAAATACTTCAAAACAGTTGGTTAAGAGAAAAACCATATAAACAATTGAAGTTAAAGTTCTCTGTTTTTGTAGTTCTTGAGAAAAATAATTTCATGATTAAGAATGCCTTGACTACAGTACTTAACAAGCTGTGAGACTAGAAAATCTCATCAGAGAAAGAAGGCAGGAATCCTGGGTTCTAAATTCCCATCTCCTGCCACGCTCTTATGTTCCGTTGTCTTCCTGCTACCTCTCTGGGACACTGCTGGACTCCACAAACAACACCAAGTTCTGGATACCCTACTCACACCTGCTCCTATCTCAGTTTCCCCAATCTTAGTACACAGAAAACACTCATTCCATTGCTTGGGCCTAAAACCTTGTTCTTTCTTTCACAGCCTACATCCAACCCATCAGCAATCCTGTTGGCTCTCTTTTTAGCTTAACCAGCCACTGTCCTATCCTCTAGCCTTCTAAGAAAGCATAATGTTTCTACCCTGACCTTGCCACTGGCCCCACACAGAGACCAGAGCAGTGCTTTCTTCTTTTGAAAGCATAAGTGAGAGCAAAACCCTCCACAGGCTGGTGTTGTGACACAACAGGGTTGGGCTGCAGCTCGGATGCCCGCATTCCGTACAGGAGGGCCTGGTTCAAGTCCTGGCTACTCTGCACTTCTTACAGTAATGTGCCTGGGAGGCAGGGCATGATGACCCAAGGACTTGGGCCCTTGTCAAACACCATGGAAGACATGGTTCCTGGCTTCAGCCTGGCCCACCCCAGCTGTTGTGGGCCATCTGTGGAGTGAACCAGTGGATGGAAGATCTCTGTCACTCTGCCTTACAAATAAATAAATAAATCTTAAAAACAAACAAACAGAAAACCTTCAAAAGCCTTTCTTCTCATTCATAAGAAAATCCCTAGGATGCATCATGGTCAACAAGGCCTAAGAAACTTCGGTCCCTGCTTCCACCCCTCCTTCTTTTTAGAAACGTTAACCTCACCTCCATCATCCCCGCCTTCACTGCCCCCGTCTAGGCACACTGTGTCTATGGATGACACAATCCACTCACACAAAGCCTTGTGTGGAAGGCTCTTCTTTCACTTCCTGTGTTTTTTTTTGTCTGTGTCTCATATGCTGGGTTGCCAGAGAGGCTGTCCTTGGTGTTTGAAAGCAGCAGCCCCATTATGATGCCCCCTCCACCTGCTGTCTGTCTCCTCAGCACTTTCACCACCTGACAATGGCTGTTGCCTGCCCTACCTAGAACAGAAGTCCCATGAATATAGGCTTTTGTCACTGCTGTGTCGCTAATGCTTACAATGTACACAGCACAAGACAGCAGATCAAGTATCTGCCAGACAAATGGTCTTCATTCTGCTATAATTAGTTTGTGAGTCTGTTTGATTCTCAGTTCCTCCTTTTGTAAAATGAGTGAGATTAAATCATAGGATATTTTTTACCAAAAAACAATTTTGAAATTTTTTGTGGCTCCAAAGTAGAGAGTCCTATTTATTACTCTAACAATCCCAAAACATGAGACTATTTTAAAAGCTACGGGTTTCACTACTTACTTTAAGAGTAACAGCTGCTGCCTTGATGATAAAATCATTTACTGACACTTTAATGTCATCTGCAAGGAAAAGAAGCATGTTAAAATTAGTATCCATAAAACTTTAACATTGACTATTCAATTCAAATGAGTAAATTATGAATTGCACTGGCAAATGATAAAAAAATTACAATTTTTTGTCTGCTTACTCACTAATATTCCTTTGATTAGAAAAATTTGTATTAAATAAGGTTCTCAATAAATAACATTAGCCAGGAATGTAAAAGCCTGCTTCTGGGCCTTGATCCAATATTTTTAATAGTGCAGACATCATACACAAGAACTTGAAGGAAGTATCACAACCATAACCAGAGGAAAAAGGACCAACTCCTACATCTCCACAAAGACAAAGGCTCTCTGTGGTATGTGTATCCAGGAAGCTTTACAAGGTGAATCATTTGTCTTTCTCTATCTTCCTTTTAAAATGTCCTTATCTGTGTATGTTTTATAGTACATGAATTACATTAGAAGAGTAATACATATAAGCACTTTAAATAAACACTTGTGTGTGTGAGTGGGGTGCTCAAATTGCTTTTATTGATAGAGTGCACAACAAAAAAAAAAACCTTAAACAATTGCATTAAACACGAGCTGCTTTTTAACTTAACACAACAGGATGCAGCAAATGCCAAAGATGAAGCAATTCTGGCAGGTGGCCGAATGCCGTGCATAAAATGAGGTTCTCTGTCTAGATGGATGAAGAATTCATCAGAACCAATTTCTTTCCAGTATACATAATGATTTTTTGTTTAAAGATTTATTTATTACTTTGAAAGGCAGAGTTACAGAGAGGCAGAGAGGCAGAGAGAGAGAGAGGGAGAGAGAGAGAGAAACTTCCATCCATTGTTCACTCCCCCGTTGGCCGCAACAGCCAGAGCTGCGCCGATCCAAAGCCAGGAGCCAGATTGTTCCAGGTCTCCCACGTGAGTTCAGAGACCCAAGAACTTGGGCCATCTTCCATTGCTTTCCCAGGCCATAGCGGGATGGGAAGTGAAGTCGGTTGCCAGCATTGCAGGTGGTGGCTTTACCCGCTACGCCACAGCACTGGCCCCCATGATGATTTTTTATTTATTTATTTATTTATTTATTTTTGAAGTCATGTATTTTTATTGTGGTAAAAAAAACTTACCTAACCAATTTTTAATAATGGGATATTTTTGGTTGCTCATGACCTTATTTGTAAAGTGAAATATAAATATAAATAATTTAGTGATCACTTCATTTACCTTCAATTCAACATATAGGATGTTCTCTAAGCTATTTAAAATTCAACAGAAAAAAATCATAACAATATCTGTGGTAGACACTGAAAACTAGTGTGTAACAAATTTGTACAACAAGGCAATCATCATGTTAATTTAAATTTTTTATAGCCAGAAAGATTAGTTGGGCTTTTATCAACACTGAGAACCTGTATTGATCCACTGTATAATGTCTGTTTCTCTACACATCACTGACGTGCCGGCCATGCCAGCTGTTCCTTCACAGGGGCCATGATGATTTTTAAGATAAAGCTGTCGTCCCCTCCCTTCCCACAGAGCTGACCATAACTAATGCATTTGTATTACATCTTTACTTTGGCCAATGGGTATGAAAGTGTTGGAAAAGGTAAATCTCATTTGATTCTCTGAAGAGCTTCTAGAAAAAGACTGAATGGTTGAGTTGGGGGAGGGGGAGGGGTCATCTGTACAACATTCCATTTATACACTGAACTAAACAGAGGAGCACAGAGTCACTAATGTGGTTAGAAGTTGGCAGCACGGAAAGGGAACGGAATAGGTGGGGGTAGGGCTGTCGTTAAAGAAAATACAGGATTCCCCTCAAACTGGGGTGCGGGGCGGGGGGGGGGGGCTTGGTCTGTTTCAACCCAAGAGGAATCAGAAGATCAAAAGCAGTTTGGGGTGGCCAGAACCTTCAGGAATGGAAGGATGAGGAGGGTCCAGGGGGAGGGGGGCTGTTTGGCAACTGGGGCGAAGGAATTGCCCTACCCCTGCTGGAATCCCCCCAGCCCCTCCGGCCTGGCAGGGAGGGGGCAGCCTGCAACCCCCAAAGGCAGGTCTGGGGCTGTCAGTCCGGGCAGAGGGCTGGAGGGGGCTCACAAGGGCTTGCCCTCCAGGGAGATGACGGCGCTGCCCCCAGCTTCTCTGCCAGAGTGCAGCGGTCCTTGACCTCCTCGTAGCAGTTGGCTTGCAATTCATGCTTGATTCTTCTCAGCTTCTTCTTGATGGCGTCCTTGGAACTGGCATAGATCATTTTGCTCTCGAGGGGTGCAGACTTGGGGGCCCAGAAATGAACACCAGGTCTTCCTTCTTGCTCTCCTTGTCTTGTAGGTGGCGTCGTAGAGGGCGTAGCAGCAGTCCTTGTCGGGTCCTCCACGGTCTGGCCCACATCGCCCGCCAGGATCTCCTTGCCCTCCTCCAGCACAAGGTTCTTCCTGTCCTCGCTCAGGCAGAACAGCACGGCCTTCTTATGCTTCTTCACCTCCTCTGGCGTCGATGACTTGCGCACCTTCATGTCGTTGAACACCTTGATGACACAGTCAGAGCCAGCCATGCTGGAGGCCATGTTTCCGGAAGTGAGAGGAAGATGGCAAGGGGGCAGAAGGTGGAGGAGATGAGAGCCGCTGCAGCTGCTGCCTGGACCCGACTCTTTTTCTTCCCCTTAAAAGATGTACTTTTTTCCATAAAAGCATAATTGTAAAGTAGAAAGTCAAACCAAATTAAGTTTAAACAGAATAACAGAATGACAACATGGCTCCATACACTTTCTTTTTTTTTTTTTTTTTTTTTTTTGACAGGCAGAGTCACAGAGAGAGATACAGAGAGAGAGGTCTTCCTTTTTCTGTTGGTTTACCCCCCAAGTGACCGCTACGGCCAGCGCGCTGCGCCGATCCAAAGCCAGGAGCTAGGTGCTTCTCCTGGTCTCCCAGGTGGGTACAGGGCCCAAGCACTTGGGCCATCTTCCACTGCACTCCCTGGCCACAGCAGAGCTGGAATGGAAGAGGAGTAACCGGGACAGAATCCGGCGCCCCGACCGGGACTAGAACCTGGGGTGCCGGCGCCTCAGGCAGAGGATTAGCCAAGTGAGCCGCGGCACCCGCCCTCCATACACTTTCAAAAGGCACCAGAAAACAAAACTTCTTGAGTTGGGTAAATTAGGTCATCTTTTTTCCCAAAATAATGTCTTCATTCTCTTGCCATACTAACTGCCCATTTAACAGCTCCCTAGAAAAAGTGGTTAAAAGCTTTTGTTTAACATTTTAGAGTTTTCATGTTTTTCCTCTTTGAAGATGGTACTTTGGGAGTCTAGCATCCAACAGGTACTAAAAAATGGAAGCTGACACAGTACTGATGGTGAGAGAATCATCTATAATCTGTTATGTGAATATTCTAAAAATCAGCTATGCCAACACTCGCTGCTAATTCATGTGAGCCCCCAATCAGAAGCCTCATTTTTGAGGCCCACGTTGAAGGGTTCCCATGGCTAGAGTGCATAGGTTCCCACGTGAGGTGACAGAAGAGCAATGGCGTTAAGGGTGTGATTTTCCAGCTTAATAACACCCATTAAATCATAGAGAATTAAAAAGGCACCTGAAGTTGGAGCTACAGAATAACAGTCTTATAAACTACGTTGAAAATAAAAAAAATTAAAAAAAAGAAAAAGCCTAACTTCCTACAACTGTAGTCTAAAAGTTGCAGTGTTTATTAATACAAAAGGGGTAACCACAGAAGTAAGGCTAAGTATCTAAGTCCAAGTCACTTGAGTGTGTTTTACCAAAGGTTACACTAAGAACTGCCACCCATCAAAGTGCAAAGCAAGATTAATGCATGTAAAAAATCAGAGTTCTTGCAACATTGGCCAAAAGCAGCAAACACAGCTGAACGAGGCCATGTGTGTACTGTCACTGGCTATAAAGTAGTACTTATGACAGATTATGACGGATAATTTCTTCATTGTGAGACCCTTTCCCTCACTGGCTCCTCTGTCCCCACACCCCCTTGGTTTTTTGCCACCCTATGCTGACTCGCTCATTTTCAGTCCCTTTTCTCAACGATGGCATCTCCCCAGGCAGAACTTCCAGTGCCATGGTTCTCACGCCACTGACAGAATGACACCGCCTCCAGATTCCAATTCTAGTGCATTTGGAGCTTCACACTTGCACATCCAACTTCTCATATATGATGTCTCTACCTATATGGCTAACAGGCATCTCAAATCTAACATGTCCAAGTTTTTTTTAGGCTGGCATTGTGGCCATTGTGTAGAAAATAAAGCCACCCGCGCTACCTGCAATGCCGGAATCTCATATGGGTGCCAGTTCAAGTCCGGACTGCTCTACTTTGGATCCAGCTCCCTGTTAATGGGTCTGGGTAAAGCAGTGGAAGATGGCTCAAGTCTTTGGGCTCCTGCCACCCATATGGAAGACTGAGATGAAGCTTATGGCTTCTGGCTTTGGCCTGGCTCAGCCCTGGCCATTGTGGCTATCTGGGGAGTGAACCACTGGATGGAAGATTTCTCCTTCTCTCTGTCTCTCCTGCTCTCTCTGTAGCTTCTTTTTTTCTCTGTAGCTTCTTCTTTTTTTTTTTTTTTTAAAGAATTATTTATTTGAAAATCAGAGTTACAGAGAAGGAGAGGCAAAGGCAGAGAAAGAGAGATCAATCTTCAATCCACTGGTTCACTCCCCAAATGGCCACAATGGTCAGGACTAGATCAGGCTGAAGCCAGGAGCCAGGAGCTTCTTCTGGGTCTCCCACATAGGAGCAGGGCCTAAGGATTTAGGGCATTTTCCACTACTCTTCCAGGCATATTAGCAGGGAGCTGGATCAGAAGTGAAGAAGCCAGGTCTTGAACAAGTGCACATATCACTGCAGGCAGCAGCTTTACCCACTATACCACAGTGCCAGCCCCATGTAATTCTGACTGTCAAATAAATAAATAAATTTTTAAAACAAAGATTTCTTTTCAAGTTTTTTTAACTCCTTATTATAGAAATTTCAAACATACTGAAAGGAGGCATTGGT